TTGGCCGGAAGTGAGACTGGTGAATGCCAGCTCTCAGGGCAGGGTCTGATAATCTATTTTGGGAAGGGAGCAGGAGGAGGAAGATGGAGGCAGTGCAGGAAGAAAAGAAGAGGCCTGCTTATTGAGCACAGACTATGTTCTGGCTACTTCAAATGCATTATATCCCCTTTAATCCCATCTCATAGCTGGAGGAAGTGAGGCTCAGAGAGGCCCAAAGTCACATGGCCAGGAAAAGCAGAGCTAGGATGCCAATGGATGGTTTGCCTTGACCCTCAATTTCTACCACACCAGGCTTGCAATCCTCTTTATTTCCCCTCACACTCCAATGTATAAACATAGGTGAAAGCTCAGCCCACTGGCCTTCTCCCTCCATCCCCATCCATCCCCTGAGGCTCCACCTAACCCCTCAGAGTGCCATACAGCATCCTCTGGGAACCACTGTGGGCTCCAGCAGACCAGCACCCTCCTGCAACCGTAGCGGTGCAGAAAAACACTCCAGAAAGCCTTGCAGCTGCACCTGCCAGGGCGGGATCTGCACAGGGCCCGGAAATGCAGACAAAGCCATTCTGATGGCCACACTCCTGCCGAGGGCAGCCCCGCTGGCTCCCTGGCAGGGAGCACTCAGCTCTCCTGAAGTGCTTGTTCTTCAAGCATCACCCCGAACTCCACACACCCTTCCATGGATGACAGCAGTGCCTGTCTCCCCACTACCCCCATCAGGACCACCCCCACATGACCACAGCTGTCCTGACCATTGTGGAATAAAACATTTTTTCTCTAATCTCTTGAAGGCCACAACCAACCCCTCAGAGCTGGGAAAGTGAAAGAGATTTCTACCTCTCTCCTGCCCGCCCCAACCATGGTGCTGTGCACCTAGCTCCCTCCATTCTGGGGGTGCACTCACCAAAGGCTAATGTTGGTCCTGTGTGTCCCTCTCTTCATCCTTGTCGTCTTCCTGCAGCACCAGAGGAATGGCACACTCCCCAGGTTTTCTCTGCCTTAGGGTGTTTCTCTCCATTGCCTCTCATCCTACCCTAATAGCCCCAGTGCCACTGTCTGCCTGATACAGGCAATGGAGGCTCCAGGGCTGTTTTGCCAGATGGTGAACTCAGGGCCAGTCCTATCCTCTAGGTTTAAGTCTCAGAAGCACTACCCGAAACCCTAGTCCTCCCCGCATCCTGCTCCTACCCCACCTCTCTTCCATGCAATGGGAATATCACTGACTGGCTGAGACTGAGGCCCAGGTCAAGATGCTACTCACTGAGGGCGAGGCTCTTGGTTTGGCTAGGTGAGCATGCAAATACAATATGTAAATTATATGCAAATATGGGGCTTGCCCTTGGGTTCCTGGCACCCTGCCATTTCTGCTGCCTGTAGCTCACCCTATTCAGGCACCTGAGTACCAGCTAGAATCCACTGGGCTAGGGACTAAGAAAGCACTTGGGGTGCAGGAGCTCCTCAAACGTCCCCAAGAAAATCCTCCAAGGTCAAATGGGAGGAGAAGACTCTCCCAGCCAGAGCCCCCTACCTCCAAAACAAAGCTCTTGGAATACCCACCCTCCCCTCTCCTCCTCCACAGACAGAATCACCCTTCACCAGCCAGAGCAGAGGACCAAGCAAGTTGTAAGCATGGAATCCCCAGAGACACAGAGTGGGCAGAGGGCTTGAAGTGTGCACCCCTCCCCCAAAGGCCCTGGGTCTGGGGCTCCTGGGTTGCTGTTGGGTACCTGCTTCTTTAGCAAGCCATCACTGGGCCAGACCACTCCTCTCCCCACCTAGTGTGCCTGCCCACCTCTCTATCCATCAGCCCAAGAAACCCAAGCCTCACAGGCCGGGTCCTTGGGATCTGCTCAACTTCAGCACTGTCCTGGGTCAGCGGCTTACTTGCTTTTCCTTTCTAATTGAGTTCCCCTTGCTGCTGCAGAAATGAAAGGCAGCTGGCTTGGATGCCCAGGGATGCCAAGCGGTAGAGGCGTCTGCGGGCATCACGACAGCTCCATCCTCCCTCACGTTACACCAGGACCCGGGGCCTCTCTGCCCATCCGCCCCCTCCCCTAAGCTGTGTTTGCCATTTTGAGGTTTTAAAAACACATTCCCCAGTACACAGCAGCCCCCTCTACATACACACAAACACCCCGATTTAATTAGACACTGAATGGAGTTAGAGATTTTCTTAATGGCCTGACGAAGGCTTTTAATTTGGTCTTCTCAAGAGAGGAGAACCACGGGTCCCCATCCGTGAGGTTGGGGTGGGAAATGAAAAAAAATCAATGCAACCCATTATTTTGGCTTTTAGAAAACAGGAATTTTAGTGCCGGGGAAGCTTGTTCTTTTACACAGTAAAATGCAAATGCAGGCAACACAGATGCTGGCACGCTGGATGTAACAACGGAGACAGCCTCGCCGGGGTTCATCTGGCTGCCCAAACCTGGATTTGTTTTGGCAATAATAAGGTGGTTATTGGAGGCTCGATAACCGATTATTAAAACACCTTCCCAGTTTAGTTCTGGGGAATCGGTCTGAGCACAGACTTCATCAAAAAAAGATCTTCGGAGAGGAATGGAAATAACAGAAGCTTAAAACACATTCAATAACTGCTTAATTCCATCCAGAGGATGCTCCATCTCGCCCTGTTTTCCTCTCTCTCCCTGCCTCCTCCCGCTCCTCACAGATGGACGTACAAATTATTGCAAGAGGATATTGTTTTCCGTAACAGGCTAGAACATTCGCATTTACATTTTCCTTGGTGCCGCGGGGGTGACTGGCAACGGGAGAGAAAATACACCCAGCTCCATCTTTCCTGCTCTCTGCAGCACAGCCTCCCCGAGCCGCCTCCGCCACCCCCCTGCCACGCCACCCCAAGCAGAACAGGCCCTGGGGACCAGCCTGGCACCTAAGCCCCAATTACAGCACCCAGGAAAAAAAAAGGGCTGTCTGGTGAGGCGCCCTGGTGCCCAGCCTTGCCGCTGGGGCCTGCAGACCCCAGGGCCCTGGAGGGCAGTCACACCTGGCCCCTCCAGCCACCCACAGGCCTGGGTAAGCTAAAAAGGCTTTTGCCCAGCCGGCTGTCCTGTTGCCTTCTGGGTCCTCCTCCACCCCCACCTCCATCTGCTCCCTCCCTATCAAATAGCTGGGGCTTCATTTATTCATGCGGGGCTCCTGGAAGGGGGAGGGGAGCCTCCTTCAGGTATTTACTTGGAGGGGTCTTGACCCCTGGGGGTGGGGAGTGGGCAGTTCTGGAAGATCCCAGGGGGCACAGGGCCCCGGGGAACCAAGCTGGACAGGAGTGTGGCCGCAGGAGTTCTGACCTCTGTTCTTGGCCTGACAAAATGGGAAAGGGGGTAGGAGGTGGTGAGAGTGAGCGATGGAGAGAGAGAGCTGCTTCTCACCTTATGTATTTTTAATATTAATGTAATTAAGGCTGCAAGCTGAGGCAGCCTGCGGGGGCGGAGGGAGGCAGGAAGAGCCTGGGGAGAGGGAAACTGGGGTGTGCCTTGGGGGACCGGGTGAACAGGAGGCAGGCTCCTGCTCTGCTGGGTGGGGTATTAGGCGCTGGGGGGCAATGGGTTAAACAACCTGGGCCGGCCTTAGCGCTCAAGCCTCTGGCCCACACTGGGTCTGAGAAACTCAACTACTTCCTCCATGATTCATTCAGGGCCCACCCCTTGCCCGGCACCCGCCAACCCGGCCAGTACTGGGGTCTTCGGTCCGGCTGTGGCGCGGCGTCATCTACACGCAACGCTTAACCCGCTTCCTCCCGGGCTTCGGCGGGGAGAGACAAGCCCCCTCCCCGGACCCCTAGCCCTGCTGGCTTGCCCTTCCCCGTTGCCCAGGGGTCGCGAGTTGTCGCTTGGCCCGAGCAACCGCCGGGGCAATAGGTGGGAGAAGCAGCCCCAGGGACGCGAAGGAGAAAAGTTAGAGGGCTGAACAGGTAAAGCCGAGCTTGCCGGAGCAGGAGTGCTCCGCCGCTCAAGGGCGCGAGACTTTGACCGCCTCACATCCCGCCAGCTGCGCGCCCCGGGGCACGTCCTGCACTACGGCCTGGAACCCGGTCCGCCAGCTTCAGTCTGCTCCGGACTCGGTGCCCCGGTGCCTCGGACCGCTCAAGCCCGTCCCCTGCCAACCTCCCAGTGCCTGCTACTTCCCGGATCAGGGGCGCAGCGCCCCAGCAGCAGGTCCGGACATGCCGGACACCTGGATCCACCCCTAGCAACCCTTTTTCTATCCCAGGAGACGGACACGCCCCCCAGCCCGAAGACTCGCCCCCAGGTCCTGTCGGCCAGGCGCCCTAGCGGAGAATCTTGCACCTTTGGGCGCGCTGCCTGGGGTGGCCGCGGCAGCGCGGCGAACCCGGGGCTAGCGCCCGGGGCATGGGGCTGGGGTGGGGTTGCGGGAGGTAGCCCGCCGGGTTTGGACACCAAACTTGCTCTTCCAGGGACCCCAGCTCTCGGGATCCCCAGCTCTGTCCGCGCTGCATGCAGCCAGGGAAGCGGACAAGCGCCATGCGGTGCGCCCGCATTCGCGCCAGGGCGGGGGTCCGGGGCGGCCGAGGGGCGCGCGGTGGAAGGAGTAACCGGCCGAGTCCGAGGTCCGAGTACGTGAACATTCCTCGGTGAAGAGTCATGGCCCGAGGACCCCTGGCCTCAGAAGGCACCCCGGGGTCCCAGCGCCACCAAGCCGCAGGAGGTGGCTACGGGGCTGGGGGAGGGATCCAGGGCAGAACCGCGGCTCTCTCATGAGAGAGGGATGAGGGGCTCCCTCGCCACCACCCCTACGGCGCGCCCCGAAACGGCGGGCGCGGTGGCCGGCAGAGCGGTCCTGGGCTGACTCTCACCCGGCCCCTCTCCGGGCGCTTGCTCCACCCCACTGCGCCCCACCCGGGGTCGTGGACCCGGGCCAGTCCCCGGGCACCTGGAGCCCGCTGGGTACCCCGCGTCTCCACCCGCCGCGCGCGCCCCGGCCCCGCCGCCTCCGCCGCCCGCCGCCCACGCGGGGCTCACCTTTGTGTAAAGAGTCCAGGAGCAGGAGGAAAGTTACCAGCCACATGCCATAAAGAGGCCCTATTCTCCGGGGAGGTGGTCCTGTGGCCGGCCGTGCGGCAGCGCCTCTCCCCCGCTCAGCGCGCTCCCAGCCGCCCGCACTCCGCGCCCCGCTCTCTCTGCTCCTCAGCCCAGCGCTCGGCGGCGGCGGCTCCTCCCTCCTCGGCTCCCCGGCTCCTGTCATCCGCGGGGCTGGGCCAGGCGGCCGCTCTCCCCGCCCCCCCGCTGCACCCCGGAAGGCTAGCGCTGCTCGAGCCCCCCGACACTGAACGGTCCCGGGCCCGCGAGCCCAGGGAGGGGGCGGGGGCCCGGAGCAGATGCCCCGACCCGGGTCCTCTGTCTGAAACCCCGGGGGTCCCATGACCCATGGATTGGGAGCCTACACCGGCACACAGGCGTCTGTCGGATGCATGCCAAGGGTCCCGCCTTGCTCGGGCCAAGGACGCCCCTTTCTGCTGGCCCTCTCACCGCGGGCCAGCGCTTCCTGCCTCTTTTGGACTCAGTTTACCCCTCTTGGGTGGGGACGCACGGGTGTTTGGGGTAAAATCCAGTCTACAGTTGCTGGCGCTGTGGCTTAGTAGGCTAAGCCTTCACCTTTGGCGCCGGCATCCCATGTGGGCGCTGGGTCCTGTCCCGGCTGCTCCACTTCTGATCCAGCTCTCTGCCTGTGGCCTGGGAAAAGTGCTTGGGCCCCTGCACCTGCATGGGAGACCCGAAAGAAGCTCCTAACTTCGGATCGGCCCAGGTCCCACCGTTGCTGCCATTTGGGGAGTGAACCAGTGGATGGAAGACCTTTCTTTCTGTCTCTCCCTCTGTCTGTAATTCTACCTTTCAAATAAATAAATAAATATAATATTTCAAAAAAAAATCGTCTATGGTCCTGAGCGGACACGAGGTGCTGCTGGCCACCCACACTGCACTGCCTCCTGCAAGCCACCTCCTGCAGAGCCCCTCCCGGGTACCCTGTCCACATCGCCCTCAGCACTGGGCAAGCTGTGAGGACTTAACAATCGTTTGTAGTTTAGCATCCACTCCACCTGTGTGTCTTCCTCCTTCCCCGCCTCCCAGCAGAAACCGTTGGATTCCTTATACTAACCTGCATACAGTTGGCATAAAATAGGACTTGAGTGAGGGCACCTTATCAGTTTCAAAAGGAATGTTGAGCACCTGCTGTGTACCAGGCACTGGGTTAGGCAAGACTGTTATGAAAGGTGGTGGGTATGGTTAGCAAACTCTCCTCTTGTCTTAATTCCAAAGTAAAAGGCCATGCAGGAGCCGGAAGAGGGGGCTACAGCAGCCCTGAGAATGGACTGTGAACCAGGACCCGGTCTCCCCTTCAGTGTGGAGTCATGGAGGTTGCTTTGGAGGTGCCCCGGCCATGTGGGGCGCCTGGACACCCTGTGGAGCCGGTTCTCTTCAGTCTGGACCGTGAAGGAGGGAGAAAGAGAGAGACTGCTGTTCAGCCCCATTTCACAGAGGAAGAATTTACTTCCCCTAAAATATCTTGCCTAAATTGAGGCAGGAGAACTAGGACTCCTAGATTTTGCCAAAATATCCCTAGAAATTTTAACTAAATTTTGAAAAGTGTGCGCTCACTACACGACATCAGCATTTGAACCATTTCCACACTCTCAGCTGTAGCACTCAGCGGCGTTACGTGCATCCACAGTGTTATGTGGCCGCTGCCCCTGCCCTGTCCTGTCCTGAACTGTCACTGTTTCAAACGGAGACTCTGCCTCCATCGAACAATAAACTCATCAGCCCCTCCCGCACCCCACATTCTATGTTCCCTCTGTGAATTCACCTGTTCAGGGTCCCTCACAACAGGCGGAATTAGACAGCATTTAGCCCTTTGTGCCTGGCTTATTTTACTCGGCATAATGTTTTCGCGGTTCATCCATATTACAGTGAGTGTCACAATGTCATTCTCTGTAGGGTTGAGTAGTACTCTCTGTATGTGCTCACCGTTTGTTTATCCATTCATCCCTCTGTGAACACTTGGGCAGCCTCCACCTTTTGGCCATTATGAATAATGCTGCCCTGACCACGGGTGCACAGATACCTCTTCGTGTCCCTTTTGAGGATGTTCCCGGCCAGGGGACTGCTGGCTAAGATGGTCATTTTGTGTGTTAACTTGTTGAGGAATTGCTGGGCACATTACTTGCTATTTATATACAGTGCTTTAAAAGTTTAAAGGGCAATTGCTCCGAGTAATCCTCACGCTATCACTGAAGCTCTGTCAGTCCCTTTTTATCATTTTCTAAATTTGTTTTTCATTTTATGTGAAAGGCAGAGAGAGAGAGAAACAGAGATCTTCCATCCGTTGGCTCACTCCCCAGATGCCCGCAACAGCTGAGACTGAATCAAGCTGAAGTTAAGAGCCTGGAACTCAATCTGAGTTTCCCACGTGGGTGGCAGGGACCCAAATACCTGAGCCATCAGCTGCTGCCTTCCAGGCTGCGCGGCCATGGAGCAGGAAGCTGGAGCAGATACTGAGAAGCCAAGACCCGAGCTGAGCACTCTAACGTGGGCATCCCAGGCAGCGTCGTCACTGCTGCATCCAACACCCACTCCTATCAGCCCCACTTAAACACGTGAGAGAACGGATGCACAGCTTGTCAAGGTCACCCAGTGTGTATCAAAAGCAGGACTTGAACTCAGGTCTCCCAATTCCAGAGCAGAGCTGGAGGCTCTATGCTGTGCTGCCTCCCTTGGTGGTTCAGCTCCATGATGCTAAATGTGTTTGCACTTGGAGAGCTGGCAGGTGCATACACGGGCCCAGGACAGAGACACAGGGAGCAGGCTGCAGGGTGTTTGAGATGAGCAGCCCACTCCTGCGCTCCACGGGTGAACACACTGAGGCTCACAACACATGGGTCTTCTGGTCTCACTCCCTTCCCTCACCACCCCCAGCCTACGGGGTCACGGTCCCATCACACCCCTTCCCTTCCCAGCGAGGTGGTCACTGAGAGGAATTCAGTTATTTAAAACTAAGCCTGGTGACCCAGAGCACCTGGTCAGGCCAGGCCTAAAATAGACCGCTAAGTCAGACAGGACGAAAGGGGCTGCTGTCTGCTGGGGCTGGAGTGGGCCCGGGGGTTTCAGCGCAGCTGCTCCGGCTCGGGGCCCCACACCGGGAAGGAGAGGAGGACAGCGCTTCCTCCACGCACCTCAGTCCCTCCTGTAACCTCAGTGCTCCTTTTACGCTGGGCATTCCCCCGAAGGTTGAGGTCGGTGACCACAGTGTGGCTGTCCCCTGAAGAGGAGCTATGCTGTGGACACAGAGGGGAGGGCAGGCTCGGGGACTCCCTGACGCCGAAGGAGGCCTTGGATGCAGACAGAGCCGAACTCTCCATCCGGTTCTGCCCCTTGCTAGCTGGAGGCCTTGGGAAATGCATGTTGCCGAGTCTCAGTTAGCGGCGACAGCTCACACAGCCACCTCTGCAGGGATTAAGCAAGCCCACAGCGGGTGCTTAGTGAGCACAGGCAAATAGCACTTAGGTCACTGGTTTTGTTCACAAGGACCTTGACCAGAGGAAGAGCTCAGCTGGGTGACATCCTGCGGTCCTGCTATGATGAGGCCGGAGGCACGAGACCACAGAGACACAGGAGGTGCACCGGAAGGCTGGGAGAGGCTGGGGAGATGGCTCACTGTGGAAGGACCTGAAACAGATGACCCTTTTGCGTTTTGTCTTTTCCATTGCCCAGGTTTGTTCCTCCTTAGCATTTAGGAGAGTATCTCAGAAGACAGCCTGGCTGAGAGGTGTTCAGAAGTGCCCCCTTCACTGGGGGCTGTACAAGACCGGGTCAGCAGGAGTCCCAGCCAGAGATCTCCGAAGGAAGAGTGTGACTTAGGGGAGGAGAGGCGGGGGGCTTGTCCCTCCCCCTGCCCACTGTGAACCCTGACATTCTGCTGCACATTTCGCTGACATTTGGGAAGGGCCATTTTATTTGGATAAAAGAGACAGTTCCTTCTCAGTCCTAAATTGGATGGAAACCCTGCCACCCACACCCAAATGTGTGCACACCAGAGTGAGCACAAACAGAGTCACCCAGGCAAACATTCCCGTGTGCAGGTAAACATAAACACCTAATGACAGGCACACCTGTGCCGAAGCTCAGTTTGAATGCACTCCAAAAACCCTGCACTGGCACCCAAGCAGAGGTCCTCATTCTTCAAAAACAGAAGCCTCAGATCTGTGGGGGTCTCACCTAGGAGGGGCCCACCACCCATTTAAAGTGGCTGCTTTCCATACTGTGCTGCAACAGAACACTGGACGACGATGAGCAGGCTATCTTTCGGTTTTTGTTTTCCGGTTTCTTTCTGTGTTTTACCCGTGCCAGCTGAAGCCGCTACATGAAGTCACTGGAAGGTGAGCCCTCTCCAATTCAGGTTAATCATGGATATTTATGGGTATTATTTTGCCATGTTATATTAAGACTAGAGCCATCATGAGAAACAGCAGATGTTTTTATTGTTTAACCCAAACAATAAGCTTATATATTTTGGATATTTTTCTTCAAAAACAAAAGCGTGTAATTATTCTCACAAAACCTTCATATGTGCTCTGAAATTATTTGACAATTTCAGAATAAATATGGTTTTCATGAAAGGAATCAATGCTGGCCCAGGTGAATGTTAAAATTGGGGGTCACAATGCTAATTTGAGATTGACCTTCTTGGTACTTGTTCATTGATTCAGGGAGGGAAAAGAGCCACAAGGATTTCTCTGCTTATGTTTTCAATTTGTAATTGGCTTTACTGCTATAGAAAGGGCCCCAGACTCTGAATGAGAAGTGCTGGGTTCTGGTGCCATCTCTTCACCATAGCCAGCTGTGTGATCTAGGGTAAGCCACATGCCCTGGGCCTGCCCCATGGGTGTGCTTGGTTGTCCCACAAATGTGTGATGCTCTCAGCAGCAGGCGAAAAACAGAATACAAACTACCTGGCCGGCGCTGCAGCTTACTTGGCTAATCCTCTGCCTGCAGCACTGGCATCCCGAGTTCTAACCCCGGTTGGGGCTCCAGTTCTGTCCCTTCTGCTACTCTTCCAGTCCAGCTCTCTGATGTGGCCCAGGAAGGCGGTGGAGGATGGCCCACGTGCTTGGGCCCTGCACTACATGGGAGACCAGGAGGAAGCACCTGGCTCCTGGCTTCAGATCAGTGC